CTTCTTATTCCAGAGTTAATATTACTATCATTGTGATAAGCACACCTGCCCTTTATTTCTCTGATTCAATTATTTCTCTTCTTTGTAGACTTTGCTAAGACTGAAATTCATGTTTTCTAATAATTTATATACACTGCATTTCCCTACTGTTTTCAGTATAAGGCTCTCAAATCATTCTGCATTCACAAATAGATGTTATCCCCACTTTACACATGGAAAAACAGAGGCCCAGAGGTCATGTGACTTTCCAAGGTCACATGCAAAGCAGTGGCAGAGCTGGGACGTGAACCCAGGAATGCTGATTCCCACTCTCCTCTCTGATCACCAAACATGCTGTTTTACATTGCCTGAGAAACTGGATTTGACTTCTGTCAGTGTTCAGTGCTACAGTGTGAGCCTTTCATGTGAGCCTTTGAAAGAATTAAGTAATGGGTGGAATGTCTTGAATCTTTGGTGTTCAGATCTGGAGGTTTTCAAACATGAGCTACACATGCAAGAATTCTAATGTTGCATGATGATCAGCATCCAAGGAAGATCTAAAAGCCAGTGACTGATACTTTTAAGTTTTTTTTAAAAAGTCTAATGCACTGGCTCTTGGTAGTACACGGCTTACAGCAGAACCTGACCTGTGCTACATCATAGCCTCTGCTTCACAATGCAAATCTTCTCTAAATAGTACAGCTTACTGAATTAGATTTCCCACTGGGTGCTCTCCTATACCTGTGTGTCAGAACTCAGTCTAAGAGACTGCAGCGAACAACTGCTTTTCTTTGTTACTTCAGATCCGAGCCTACTTGATGTGCAACAAGCTACGTTCTGCTTACCTGGTCTCAGTGAGACAAGAGACTACGAGAGCTGTGCAGCTGGTGCAGCATGTGCGGCAGCTGGCTGAGAGCAGTGGAGAAGATGTTGTGCAGGCCATCTGTGTCCAGTGGCTTTCAGTGCACCAGCCCAAACAAAAAAAACTGGCTCACCCAGACCACCAGAAAATAACTCCCAGGCACCAGCATCCATAAAGGGAAGACTTCATATGGCACAGAGAAGAACAGCTTAGTGATCTCTGTGATAGTGAAGTAGCAGGCAGGAGCTGCTAGAGCGCCTATAGCTAAAGGGAAGGAATTTACTACATACAAAGTGCCAATTCAGTGTTCTGATGACCAATAATCACTACCTCAGGGTCTTTTGTGTGTTTTAAATCTGAACAAGCCAGACTAAGGATTATGGAGAAATTATCTTCTCCTGTTTCAAAAACGTATTGAACTCTTTTGCCATTGGTTTGTTTTAACCCAGCTATGTACAGTTGATGACCAAATGCCATCCCATTTGAGCTCAGAGTAGGCTGAAACATAAATCTTTGATTTCTCTTAGAGCCATTTTATAGTGAATCTATCATTGCAATGGTTGAGTAGAGTTTCATTTTCAGTTATAGATTTGGGAGTGAATTTGAGGTGACTTTTTAAAGATCTATACTAATTACCACTAAGGTTTTTTACACTACTGAACAGTACATGTGAATCTTTTTAATTTTGGTTTGAAAGGCAACAGCGAGTTGTATATGGCAGGTGTCCCTATGCTGAAATCATGGGCAAATGTTTGCCTGTTGATAGGGACATTGGTGGATGGACATAATTGGAACTGGATGCACTATGAGAAGGAAACAAAGGGAAAACCTTTAAAATAGGATGAGGATGTTTGAGAGAATTGTTTTACCTCTTGCTTTCCTAGTTTAATCCACTAAGTAGATTAAATTGGTGTGATACAGCTGTCATTGGATAGTCACAAGGACTCTTATATGTAAACAAACTGAGCTAGATAACCCTTGCATTATAGAGGAAACATCTTCCTTTTATAAAAGGGTTTACATGGTGTAATTTAATTACCCAGCAAAGTAAGAGACTGCTAGATCATGTAATGAGTGTCCTTATCAAAGCAATCTTGCCCCTTCCAACAAACTGAAACATTTTGGGCTGAATAGTTATATACTTTGGTGGGGCAGAGGGAGCCCAACATGTCTCTTTCTGGGGTGAACAAATAGCTCAGACTGTCTGGAATACACTGGGGACTAGCAGGCATTCTTTAGCTCACATGATGTCTCTGTATTAGTTGCTTCTATGCAGAATCTCTTTCCCCGGGTGCCTGCTGCTGACTGGAAACAGTACAAAAGCTACACTCTCCTGGTCTACTTCACTTAACAGCAGGCACTTCTGGGGGAAATTGACTCTATTAGGGGGCATTTGGATTGGGCTATTGCTTCTCTGCAGCTGTTAATCTGAGAAGAGGGAAAAGTAGAAAGGAGAAACAGGCAGCAGAGAATGGAAGAAGCAGACATGAGTCTGTGCTTATAAAAAGTTTTTGCTAACTTTGGCAACCCAAACATGCTTATAGTGCAATGGATGTAGACTGCTAATATTTAAAGATGGGCGCCTCAATTTTCCTTTCAACAGCTCTCAGCATATTAGTCAGTTGGCTCGCTTGCAGCCAAATTAATTCTAGAGATGTTTCATTTCCAGAAGTGTAATATAACTAATTCTGTTTTACAAAGCAAGCTAATCAGGCAAATAGAGTCCTTCTGATAGACCATAGACCTCCAATTAGATGAAAAGCACTTGGTTGATCTCATTTAAGTGTTTCATGACCACTATTCCACTGGCTCTCCTTGCTGGAGATGCTTAGTTCATTGGATCTGGGGTTAGAAATAGCTCAGAGCTAAGAACTAGGGATGACAACACTTATCTTCCAGAATCTTCCAGCTCCAGAGCTCAGCGATCCCATTAGGAAGGCTAATAAAAGCTGTTCTTATTGTCTCAGCCAGCCCGAACTGGCTTAGCAATGTGCTCCAGAGGTAAGCTAATCTTGTTGGATGTGATACATTTTTATGGTTTGGATCAATATTAACTCTACAATTAAATAGGAGTGGAATGGTCTAATGTGTGCACCAATGCAGTCTCTACCATTCTGTATGCATTGGTGAGAGGAGTTTGAACTGTATAGAAGGAAAGAATGGTGTCTGCCATGTAGCCCAGCCATTTTTGTGCCTGTCTTTCTGCTTGACTTCTTTGCACTGTACTTTATGCACTTTATAGAGTGTTTGTTGCAATTTTGATCATCCTTAGCTTAACTTTCTAAGGACCTTTTCTTACCAGCAAACCTAGAACTGGAATTTTGGCCCTGCCCCTAAAAGGCTTTTGTTACAAGTAGTACAATTAATGATGGGCCTAAAAACCCCAAGCATAAAAATGGATTGAACACTAGCAGTTTAAGAGGCATTTATCTGTTTTACAGTGAACAAAGGAAAATAAAGTATTATCAGCAAAGGTTACTTGTTCCACTTCCTCTTTCATGTGCTGCTTTGTTCTTTACCTCTAGCATAGTTCTGGTGGTCTCTTTAGCTTTTGTTTGTTACTAGTCTGGGGCTCTATCTATTCTTAGGAAGGAGCCATTGTCAAACTATTTCCCTGCCAGGGAACCACTGTAGAATTGTTCTGTACCCTCTAGTCTTCCTTGTCTAATCTAACTTTAAATATCTAAATTAGTTGGAAGATTTGTTCCCCAACCTAGTACATGTCACTATGAGGAAATGTTTCCTGGTATGCAGCCTATATTGCATTTAATTTCACTCCTTTGTTGTGCCCATGAAACTGGTGCATGCCACTGCCACCCACTCAAGAATGACTCAAGTACATGAGAAGAAAGATGTGGCATAACATAAAACAGGAATGATTTTATTTAGTAACAATTATTGGAGGTAACACAGTGGTAACTTGCAGTCAGGCCTTACCAGAGAGAGCTGGTCATGCTAAAAACTCATCAGGAACTAGGCATCTGCTTTGCATAGCAAATGCCATTCACTTGTGATCACCTGGAGTATAGGAATGAATGTCTGGATTTTCTAGCAGGGGGAAGGCAATCCTGCAAGTGGTGATACCTTGACTGACCTGACATTTTAGCCATCTGATACTTCCAGTAAAAAATTCATGTGTTATAAAATATGGCAGCTTGTAGGCAGCAGCTCAGTTACTAATGGGAGATAAGAGTTTGGAGTTAGCACTGCTGCAGCAATGAGGAACTTTACTTGCCCTTTGCAACAGCTGTGATCAGTGTGTTGTGCCATATGCCAGCCTTGGCTAGCTTTCCCTATAACAACTAGTTTCCACTTTTACTTTTCAGCTCTATTGCTAATGTGGCCATTGCTGTCTCATTATGGATGAGCCCTGCCTTCATATACTGTACATATGGCTGCAAATCCAGTATCTTCTGTCAGGATAGCAAACTGGGCAGTGATGTATCAGCCAGTGCTTGAATTACCCTCTGCTTAAGTAGAGGGTGGATTATGTCACATTTCTCTGTTCATTCTACTGACAGCTCTTCTCCTGCTCTGAACTCCAAAACTTTCTACAGGTGGCTTTTATTGTGACATAGTTAAGACTTCAGCACTGAAGAAATGTAAAGGGCCAAGTATCTTTTAGTAATCCTCCTCTAGGATTCCTTCTGCTATGTGAAACTCATCAGGAGGGCTGCCCATTTGGTTAACGCTCTAGGGGCAAAAAGGGCCTTATAAGCTGGGAGTTTGTTCCTTTGATCTGGAGGCTGCTGCAGTTTTTAGGGTCCCCTTCCAAGTAGTGGAGTCAGGACAAGTGACTCAGTGGACCAGTCAGTGAAGAAAACTCATTAACCAGCCTGGTTACTACTGCTGGGTATAGATCATTCTATAAACATAAAGCAAAATATCTAAATAGCTGTGCAATAAAAAAAAACCGTAACTGGCCTAAAGTTGCCACTTCTGGAGGCTGCTGCAGTTTTTAGGGTCCCCTTCCAAGTAGTGGAGTCAGGACAAGTGACTCAGTGGACCAGTCAGTGAAGAAAACTCATTAACCAGCCTGGTTACTACTGCTGGGTATAGATCATTCTATAAACATAAAGCAAAATATCTAAATAGCTGTGCAATAAAAAAAAACCGTAACTGGCCTAAAGTTGCCACTTCTC